CATCGGGAAACTGAGATTAAACAACATGAGTATACAAGAGAAAAAAGCGAAAAAGGATAGAGATGCTTGTGAAACTACCCAAGAGGCAGCACGTGGAAAGCAATGGTCGAAAGAGAGCCTTAGCAACGCTTTAAAAGATGAGGAGAGAGGAGAAAACTCTAGGCCATAAATCCCATCTTCATTACAAAGTTGTGCAGAAGATCTTGATCCATTGTTTTTTGCGGATCATCTTTCACATTCAGTTATGTTTGTGAAGAGGTTTATTTGCTTATCAAGTGAAATATTAATTAGCTGTTTATCTAATTTACAAGAGAACTAAACTTCTACTCGAAACTCTACAACAATTATGTATGATAGTCAAAGGTTTTATGCTAGACATATATGATCCCGTATATATGAAGGATCTGAATTCAATCCAAACAGTTAGCATTAAAGACAGTAAAGACCAGGTGCTCCACCGAAGGAGAAGACAAAACATATTACTTTGAGTAAAATTTTTTTTTTAAATTTGAACATTAAACTAGAGACAAACCCAAATAAACTCAAGTGTAAGCTCACCGATAAAATTGTTTTATGAAAATATCAAATTTACGTCTTTGTATCTAATTGTACACTATGATGCTAGAGTTTAGAATTTATATATTGTTTTCAGTAGTAACATGCATTTATAAGGGTTTAGGCTCCCTCTTAGGGTTTAACACCATTTAAGTTTCCAAAAACAATGATGGTGTAATGTTAATGAATAATTTTACACGTTTGGTTTAAAAAAAAATATAGTACTGAAAAGTATAAATAAATATTGATTTTTAAAATTAAATCTAAAATTTTATTAAGAAATTAAAATTTGTTAATATGGGATAAGTAGCATCATGTTTTTAATTTACAATATCGTTTAGATGTTGCAACAACCTAAAGCGCTCAACGCTCATAGTTACATAATTGGTTATTTCCATACAAAAAATACATTAGATATGTGACTCTTTTAGTTGTATGATTTTAGTTTCAGTTTAGAATTAAAAAAATACCTATTTAAAAATCCAAATCATATTTTAAAGACTAACATCTTTGGAGTAAAAAATTTTTTACAAAAACTTATCCCCGCGCAGGGCGCGGATACTGCACTAGTAGTTTAGTAATAATCAAAGTCAAAGGTATACATCAAGTCTTCACATTCTATTACTGTGTCAAGACCTCGCACAAAAGCTATAGTGTTAAAGGGCTCAACCTACAAATAAGCCTACCTCAACCCAGTCCAGTCTCGTCACAGCCCAAATCATGCGGTTTGAGATACGTTCTTGTTTCAAAAAAAATGATGGAATTTTGACAAATGTTGACTATTATTGTAGACCAGACTTAATGAACAGTTGTAATTGTGTGTAAAGTTTGAAATGAAAACTTATGTTTCCGAGGAACCAAAAGCCTTTAATGTCTAAAGAAGACCAGATTCAAATAACGTAACGCATCTTCTCCATTTATTTCACTTTGATTCATCATTTTCATTGCAATACAAACATCAAAATCCCTCTTTTCTTTTAACCGTTGCATGTAACCATTCTGTGTTACACATCGAAA